GACTGTTTGGTAGAATTTGCCTATGAAGCCATCTAGTCCAGGACTTTTATTTTTGGGGAGGTTTTTGATTACCGATTCGATTTTATGTGTGATTATCAGTCTGTTCAGATTTTCTGTTTCTTCTTGGCTCAGTCTTGGGAGATTGTATGTTTCTAGGAATGTATCCATTTCTTCCAGATTATCCAATTTGTTGGTGTATAATTGTTCGTAGTATTTTCTTATGATTCTTTGTATTTCTGTGGAATCTGTAGTTATTTCTCCTCTTTCATTTCTGATTTTATTTACTTGAGTCTTCTCTCTTTTTTCCTTGATGAGTCTGGTTAAAGTTTTGTCAATTTTGTTTATCCTTTCAAAAAATCTTCTTGAGGAAGATTCAGTTACTTCTTCTGGGTGGTGACTCTAAGCTACTTACAAAAGAACAAGAGGGCTTTATCTCTATTTTAGACAAGCAGAATAACAGGACAATAAAAACTAAGGCTCTTGGGATACACCGACTCATAGACCTAATTGAGGGACAGTCTACAAAATTCCATAGACCAGTGTTGATGGTTGAACTGAAATGTTTTCTGGGATAGTCTATGGAAAACGAGCCAATGGTAAACAGGAGCTCAATGAGTGTGTCATGCCTTGGAGCCATCACAGACTGACCAGAAGGCAGCCTCCCACAGACTCACTACTAGTAGCTGAAGAATCCTTATGGTATTGTTGCCATCTTAATTTGCAAGCTTGACTCACCAAGTCCCTCGAATAAAAATATGAAGAAGAGACAGGAAAGGAGCAGAGAAAAGAAAAGAGGGCTGCTGACCAGCAAATGACGTAAAGGAAGGCAGTGTGTCTGTCCTCCTGGGACTCTGCTTCCGCATCTTGTTTTTCTTCAAACCACTTCCCTATTTTATTCCACCTACCATTCTTCTTCACCTAAACAAGCCTAAATATATTTCTAAATAAAAAAGAAAACTGTTCCCTGAGCTGACGCTCATGGGTAGTTTGAAAAAACTCATAGCACATTTAAAAATATAATTATACCTTTTTTTCCCTGTTTTATTGAGCTATAAGGGACATCTAACATTGTGTTAGTTTAAGATGGAACACATAATAATTTGATATATGTATATATTACAAAATGATTACCACAATATGTTTAGCTAACATCCATTGCCTCACATAGTTGCAAATTGTTTTCTTGTTTTTTTTAAAGGCGAATTAACTATGTCTTTCAATTTCTATATTCTAAAGTTATTTTTAAAATATAAAATGCTTCAAAAATATGCATGTCATCATTTCACAGGGGCCATGATAATATTCTCTGTATTGTTCCAATTTTAGTATATGTGCTGCCAAATTGAGCACACATATACTATAGTCACTATGCTGTACATTACATCTTCAGGACTTAATGTTATAACTGGAAATGTGTAACTTTTGACCTCCTTCACCCATATACAACACGCACCACAGCTGCTGTCCACCATTGACAGCCATCAATCTGTTCTCTATTTCCATAATTTCTAGTTTTAAGATTCTACACATCATAAACTGCATGATACCATGCAGTATTTGTCCTTCTCTGGCTTATTTCACTTAGCATAATGCCCCCAAGTTCCATTCGTGTTGTTGCAAAGGCAAGACTTCATTTTTTTTAATTGCTGAATAATATTTCGTTATCTCTCTCTCTCTCTCTCTCTCTCTCTCTCTCTCTCTCTCTCTCTCTCTCTCTCTCTCTCTCTCTCTCTCTCTCTCTCTCTCTCTCTCTCTCTCTCTCTCTCTCTCTCTCTCTCTCTCTCTCTCTCTCTCTCTCTCTCTCTCTCTATATATATATATATATATACACACACACACACACACATACACACACACACAAACACACACATACACATACACACCCCATTCTCTACCCATTCATTCATTGACAGGTACTTGTTTCCATGTTTTGGCTATTATGACTAATGCTGCAATGAACACAGGAGTGCAGATATCTCTTTGATATTCTGTTTTCATGTCCTTTGGATATATACCCAGAAGTGGAATTGCTGGATCATATGGTAGTTCTATATTTAATTTTTTGAGGAACCTCCTTACTGTTTTCCATGATGGCTGTACTAATTTGTGTTCTCACCAACGGTGCACAAGGATTTCCTTTTCTCCACATCTTCGCCAATACTTATCACTTGTCTTTTTGATGCTAGCCATTCTAACAGGTATGAGACAATATCTCATTGTGGTTTTGATTTACATCTGATGATTAGTAATGCTGAGCACCTTTTCATGTACCTATTGGCCTAATTTTGCATTTTTGACATCTGGAAAAAAGGTGTACCTATATTACATTTTAAGTTTCTTTAACTTTAAAAAAATACGCTTTTAATTTTAGAATAGTTTTAGGTTTACAAGAAAATTGTCCATATATCCCACATGTATTTTCCTCTTACATTTTTATTACATCTTACATTTAATTTTAAAATCTTACATTTGTATGGCTCATTTTTCACAATTAATGAATCAATATTATTATTAACTAAAGTCCATAATTTATTCTTATTTTCTCACTTTTTACCTCCCGGTAACACATCCAGGTTACCACATTACATTTAGCCTTTATTTCTTCTTAAGCACCTCTTGGATGTGACAGTTTCTCAGTTTCCATGTTTTTATGACCTTGACAGTTTGGGGAAGTACTGGTCAGGAATTTTATAGAATGTTCTTCAGTTAGGATTCAACTGATATTTTATTCATGGTTATGGTTTTTTGGGGGGAGCTCTTTAAACTTTTCATCATAACTTCTGAACATCAGATGGTTATTCCTTTAGCTCTCTTCAAAGCCTTTATTCAGCAAGAAACTTATTCTGGGCATGTGTCACTCCTGCGCTCTTCATATTTATTATTATTTGCCTTCAAGAACCTTTTTCTATTTACTCTGCTACAGAAGAAAAGCATTTTTAGAAATTGGAACATGTTTGGTAATAGCTGCTAAAAGGAAAGGTGTGTATGAAACTCACTTCTAATTATAGTTTACAGGGGGTTAAAAAATTAAACATTAGCAATAGATTATTTTAGTCACAAGCATGAATGGTATATAAATTCTCTTTTCCTGTCAAATAGAAGAATTGGATTTCTTTTTCTAGAGTAACGTGCTTTTTCCCATTTTTAAATTTAGTTGCTACAGGAATTGGGTTGATCTTTAATACTCTTTCCTGGTGCTGTTTTTGTATGCTCCAGCAGAACTGAAGTTTAAAAAGACTATACTAAAAAGTATACTAGACTGCATCAAAAAAAAATCTCTAGACCAATATCACTATGAATATTATTTTAAAATTTTTAAATAAAATATCAAAATGTAATATTAATATTAGCAGCTTATTAAAAATAACATCTCAAGCAAGTGGGATTTATTCTAAGAAAGCAAGGGTAATTCATTATTAGGTTTGATAATATAATCCTTCATATTAAGAGAGCTAAAGAGAAAGATCACATTATCATCTCCACAGAGGGTATATAAGGCATTCAATAAATTTGATAAGTTAACTTTCATTCATGTTAAAATCATTCAATAAAATATAAATTTGTGACTACTTCCTTTATATGATTGTGTGTGTGTGTGTGCATGTGTGTGTGTACATTTCAGCAAAAGACAACATCTTAGTTAATGTTGTAACACTAGGAACTTTCCAATAAGTAAGGAACAAGGCAAAGATGCCCATTATCTTTACTACTATTAAACACTAAGCTGGAGGTACTAGCCAATACAATTAGATAAAAAATAAAAAGTAATTAGAAGGATAAAACTTGGAAAGCAAGAGGCAAATCTCTTTGTCTGCAGGAAACATGTTTTTACATATATGTAAATTCTAAGGAACCAATAAAAATGTAACGAGTTACAGATTATATAACATGTAAATACCAATAACCTTCTTATATGCTAATTAAAATCACATAGAAGGTATAATGGAAAAGAAGATACTGTTTTTGATAGCAAAAAACACTAAAACAAAAAAAACCACAGGAATGACCCTAACCATTCAGAACTTTTATGGAGTCAACTATAAAACACTGCTGAGGAAACAAAAAAAGACCTGAACAAGTGGAAAAACATACCATATTCTTGAGTAGGAAGACTCAACACCATAAACATGTCAGTTTTCCCTAAATTAATTTATAAATTTAATGTAATCCCAATAAAGTTAACTTTAGGGCTTCTACCTAGAGCAAAACAACTTGATTATAAATTCATCTAGAAGAGCAAAAAAGCAAGAGTAGTTAGAAAACCCTCAAAATGCAGAGCAGGGACAGAGGTAACCTTCCAAAAGTAATGTATAAATGAAGCCTCTATATTAAAACAGTGTGATATTGCCCATGAATGGACAGATAGACTAATGGAAAAGAAAATAATGAAATAGACATAATTACATATGTAAATATAGAATGCCATGCAGGTGGCATCTCAAATCAGAGAAGGAAAACTGGATTTTTATTAGTGGTTTTGGAATAATTGAATGACCATATAGAAAAAATATGTCTTTTTCACACAGTATAACTAGATAGATATAGTCTAAATGAAACAATGATCCAAAGGTAAAAAAACAAAACAAAACTATAGAGTTAATATGAAGTTAATATGAATGAATCCCTTTATTGCTGGGAGTGGAAAATTTTCCTTTATTATAATTTGGAATCTAGAGCAACTGGAATTTTTTATTACTTAACAATACAAACTTGCATAGTAAAAAAAAAAGAAAAAAACACCGTTAGTAAAGTAAAATGGAAAATGACAAACTTGGGGAAAAAATATCAGCAACTTACATCACAAAGTATTATCAATGCCCTCTAATCAAAGACCACAAAGAATACAGCTACAGATGAACAAATTAATATTAAAGCAAGTTGCAACAAAAGAGACTGCACATCATGGTGCACCGTAGTGGGACTCAGGAAGAGAGTTTTGAAAAGGACTTGTTATGGGAGTTGAGATTTGGTTAGATAACTTTGGGCAGAGTTCAAGGAAGAGGGGCTTTACTCTAGATTGCATGCTGTCAAGAAAAAGAGAGCGAATCTATTACTGAATATCTTAACAAACCTTATCTACGATGTGGGAAAAATGAATCGGAGCTAAAGTCATAATTGATAGAGAAGCATAGTCACTCGTTAGCATGATAGAAACATGTGTGGTATTTTTGTGGTTTGCAAGGTAACCTTGTTTTGTTTTTTTTAAAAAATTTTAATGCCAGTTTAATTATTTTTATTGAGGTGACATTGGTTAATAAAATTATATAGGTTTCAAGTGTACAATTCAGTAATACGTCATTTGCATATTGCATTGTGTGTTTTACCACCTAAAGTCTAGTTTCCTTCCGTTACCATATATTTGACCCCCTTTACCCTGTACTCCCCGCTTCCTTCTGGTAACCACTAGTCCATTGTTCATGTCCATGAGTTTCTGTTTGTTTGTCCTGTTCATTTGTTGCTTTTAGGTTTATATCCCACATATGTGATATCATGTGATTTTCAACCTTTTCTGTCTGGCTTATTTCACTTAGTACGATTATTTCAAGGTCCATCTATGTTGTTGCAAATAGCAGTATTTCATCTCTTCTTATGGCTGAGTAATATTCCATTGCATATGTACCACAGCTTCTTTAGCCAATCATCTATCGTAAGACACTTTGGTTGCTTCCATGTCCTGGCCACTGTGAATAATGCTGCTAAAAGTAACTTTGTTTTTGTCTGTGCTTAGAAAAAATTCTCAAACACTGGTTTGTTGTGTTTTGTTTTGTCTCACTTCATCGTGGTTGCAGAGTAGCCTTGTCTGATGTTGGCGCTCTATGAGATTGTTTATACTCAACGGAAGAACACCCAGGTTTAGCTGTAAGTACCATGCAACCTCCTGACAGCACTGAGGTCCAGCCGTGGCAGGCCGCTTCTCAAATGTCAGAGGCTGCTTCTCTTTCTCTTGGGACTAATACTCCTAATATAGAAAGAGCTTCTAAAAAGAGAGACTCAACTAAAAACCTGGTGCAACTGGACTATCCAACACAGTTGCCACTAGTCACATGTGGTTATTTAAATTTAGATTAATTAAAAGTAAACAATTAAAAATTCAGTTCCTTATTTGCAACAGCCACATTTCACATATTCAATAGCACATGTTTGGTGGCTACTGAATTGATAATGCAGGTATAGAATGTTTCCATTATTGTAATTATATTGGACAGCACTGCTATGGACAACATTACTAAAGAAAATAGTTCATTGAAAAAGAAATGAAAATGGCTTTTAATCATTTGAAATGTTGCCCAAACTCACCTCAAACAGAAATACACATCAAAACTGCACCAGGATCCATTTCTCACAAAAAG